CCCCCCCCCCCCCCTTCCCCCCCCCCGCTATGTTTGCTGGGCTCCTGGGCGGCTTTGGCAGACTCCGGACCGGGCTCTTTGGGGTCCTCGCGGCAAGGGGGGCTTGAAGCGGCCGAGAAGTTCTGGTCTTTGGGGGGGTTTGCGATTCTGCCCGGTGTGGGGTTGAGGTTGAAGGTTCAAGGGTGTTCAGAAGCAGATGGATCTCACCCTCGGCAAGGATTGAATTGCGTCGTATGCGAAATCCGGCCTACCCTCAGTCGCAACATCCTTCGGCCCTCGATTGGCCATGAAATGTTCGGCCAATAAGGCTGCCCAAGATCAGTCTTAGCACCTCCTTACACGCTGCCAGAGCACTTTGCCTGCATGCAGCCTCGGAGGTGGGCCCTCAGGTTGGGGTTCGGGGTTCGGGGCGGGTGGTTCTTTCTATAGCACCCAAACGCTTTCAATTTTCAAAAGAATCACTGTTTTGATATGTACATTGCAATATCTTGAACTCGACTCTGCGCCCTCAAGTCAAGAGCAACTGAGGACCAAAGGAAGGGTTAGGGTGTTCAAGGTGCACAGCTGCTGCTCCTGCCCCCGCTGCTGCTGCTGCTCCTGCAGCCGCAACCGCAACCATTCCGATGCCGATCGGGAAACTGAATACGATACAGTACTGACAACGATGCTGAAGCACTGATTGCAAGAGTGGTACGAGCGGTCATCGCCATCGTCTTCATCGCCGTCGTCGCAGCATCCCGGAAACAAGTGCACACTGAAGCTGCCGACTTGAAGCGTGCTGAACGCCTCGTATCCAAGACGCCTGTCTACCCAAACCCTCTGTCGAAATCAGTAGCCGATGTCAGCTCCTTGCTTTCTCCAGGTTCCTGCGGCTTGTCGGAGACCTGGCACTGTTTAGGGCTGTAAGGTGCCGGGCTGTCGGGTCAACCCCTGCAGCATCTGCGACAAACCCCAAATCGCACAAACCTTCGGCGTGTGCTTCGCAAGTGGCCGGGCGACCAGATGCTCCGCTCCCGGATTCTCGACAGTACTTCCAGCAACCCAGACCCTCTACAGACGTGCAGATGCCCACAAAGACAGCAGCAGTGGCAATAACAGGATAAGTCGATTTGGCAATGGCAGTCGTGGTGGTAATGCGAGTGGTTGTTGTGGTCGTTGTGGTAGGCGGAGTATGGTAGTAGTCGTCGTCGTGGTCGTCGCAGTCGTTGCTGTCGTAGTCGTAGTAGTAGTAGTAGTAGTAGTAGTAGTAGTAGTAGTAATAGTAGTAGTAGGAGTAGTAGTAGAAGCAGTAGTAGTAGTAGTAGTAGTAGTAGTAGTAGTAGTACTAGTAGTAGT